GGATTATTTTCTCTAGAAAATATTTTAGTTATTTGTTATTCGAAGGTAGCGGGTGCACTAAGAAAAATAGAATTTTAATGGGTTTACGTCAAACCAGTGTTGAAAAAAACTCGTTATAACCCGTTTTGTAACTTAACGGTGCCCTCTTGTTATGTAGCACGCTCATTTAACGCTGAAACTGTTTAACCTAGAAAAAACACGATATATTACGTTAAATGTGCATTACGTTATATAATCAGTTAACATGAGTTTTTTTAGGCCAAATTACACCTCTAATTAGGATGCGTGGATGCATCTCCACCGTCCAAATCATTTAAACCATACCCCTTTTAGTCCTAATCACCCTATTTTCTTCCTATGAATATGTGATTTTTTCGCCTCCTCCAATCCAAACTCTTAACTCCTTGCCTTCTCTAAAACTCCTTCAGTTATAGGCAGCTTCTGCGACTCCGGCAAGATAATTTTTCATTTTCAGTTAGGTATTGGGCATCTCAGCTTATATCTTTTAAATAATTAGTGATTTTAAAATTATCTTCCCAATTCTAATTTTTTCAGTTGCCAATTTACCCTAAATCATATCAAACTTATTGCTCCATTACTTTACCCTTCAACATAATTTTTTAAGATCTCTCACTAAATTAGAGTAGAGAGATTAATTAGTGGGTTAATTGTGTTAGTGTAATAATTACTTTCAATTATTACTTGACTTTGCTTAGGTTTTAGTTTTCAGTTTTCAGCTAATACTAGATTTTGTGAAATTAAGTTTGCACAAAACCTCTGTATATACAAAATTTCTTATAATTGTTACATAATCACGTTTGGTTTGTTTGATGTAATGAACTTGATTAGGAATTAGAATATTTTTATAAAGTTAAGAACTCAAAAGTTGGAAGTGTTTGGTTTATTTTAGACTTATTTCTATTGCCTTAAACTTAACGACGTTAACGTACTTGATAATTTGATGATGCTTTTTGGAATGGTCGTTAGTCATATATGACCGACTTTTGTTAAGAAATTATGATACTTTACTTTTATATTTGATAATAGTGATGTTATGTTTTACAAGTTTGATGATTCTAAGTATTAAAATTATTATGAATTGTTAGTGTTTATAAAATATCTAAATAATTAATAAACATTATAACCTACGTCATGCGTTATGTTTTTTTACGTTTTTTCCCTTAACCCTTAATACGAGATCAAGCATTACATAACTCATTTTCGTTATTTTCAAGATTGTGTGAGACATCCCAAAGTTCAGGAGGATTAATGGAATAAAAAAGGTTCAGAGGGTTATCAACAACACCCCCAAAGTATTAACCTAGTTAAGAAGTGTTATCTGCAACAGCCCCCAAAGTTCAGGAGGGATTTCTAAAATTAACCCCTAAAATCACAAACAACCCCCCCCAACCCCTCAACCAAAAAAAAGAAAAGAAAACCAACCTTTAGGCCATTTCACAAGCAGCCTAGCATTTGTTTTCCCACTAAACACCAAAACTTTTCCTACATAACCTCCAAAGTGACAGAATGAGCCTCAAGCGAAAAAACTTTATATTGTTTGTTGTTGATGTCGATGATGTTTTACCAGTAAGTCATGTTGGTGAAACAATACCCAGAAAACACATCGTGCAACATTACCAATTGGACAGGTGATAAAACAGCATAACGGGAAAAAAGATCGATGATAAAGGAAAAGACAAAAGAATTGACTGCGGTGCAAGAACCACACAATTGAAGGCATGACTCTTGTCACCCCACTATAGGAGCAATACAAATGGAGACATGCATCGGGATATAAGGCACAACAAAGACAACGAATGGCTTGCAGTGGATATTGTAACAATACAACAGTTAAATAATGCATATTGTTCAAAATGAATGAATATTGTAAGAATACAATAAAAAGAAAAGCTACGACTAGAGTTGATCCTAGGAGATATAGAGGGAGTAACAGAAGATAGGTGTTAGCTTGTGTTAGCACAGTTGATTGACATTGTTCTTTCCTACAATACAAGGCGCAAGGCAATGCATACATAATTTATTACTACAAGCCCTCGCCAGTGAAATCTAACTTCGACCTCTCTTTCTATAGCAACTTGCGGGTATTGGTGAATGTTGGACAATATGTCTCACTTCTAACAGTGTTGTAACTTGTAAGAAGCACAGCAAGCCGTGCATCGTCTGTCGCCAACCCTACCCCCCCCCAACCCTAACCCCAACCCCAACCCCTTATTTTTTGATCAAACACTAAGTATCATTCTTCTTTTTTAAGTTTTACTATCGGGGTGCTTCCAACAATATCTAGATGAATAGTACTGAAATGAAGAAAAATCATGGAACTATAAAGCATACCACTCAACCCCGAAAAACCCTCGATATTGGATAAGGAATTCAAGTGTAGGTGCTTCTATTATAATGTCATGTTGTTTTGACCACGTGCTTGAGGATTTAGCTTCTCATGTCATGTTGAATAGTGAGCGCATGATTGTCATGCAACATAGCAGAAACCTAAACTACTATGAGCAAGCTATCAATATAGCCAATTTTTCCATACCCTCGTGATGTATGAAACTAGGGATGTTACATATCGGCCCAAGTTAACCATTTAGATAGCATTAGATGTTACATATCAGCCAATTACGTAAGGGCAAAATAGCACCAAAGCACACAAGTTTCACTTGCTACTAGCTACATATTCTTGGTGAATCAGGTTTGCGAACAGCTTACGACTGATTCATGTCAGGTGCTACCGACTTGATGGAGGTATCAATCAGTATTCAATTTGTTATTGTAGCATTGTGCCTAAGGCAAGATCACATAGAGCGCTAAGCAGCCTAGGCATCAGACCCAACATGGGGCCTGGAGATTTTCCTTTTTTTGTTTCAGTTACAATCAATGTTATCGAAAACATTACGCACTGCTAGGTGCCAAGCTGGCACCTAACGCCTTGGCACTAGGCCTAGGAGGTTTTTTTTAAGTGGTGCGGAGGAGTTTTTGCTGAAGGTTGGAGGAGTTAGGAGGAGGTATTTGTAGTCGGTAGAGGAGGTTCGAGGTGGTTAGAAGATGTGGATGCAGCAACAGAGGAAATCACGATCAAGACCAAGCAATGCAGTTCGCGTCAGCAGTCTCCAACCCCTTAGGAGCTCTGAAGACCTAGACGGTTTAGGTACCACTTAGGTCTAAAGGAGAGCCTAGTCAGGCTAGGCAGCAGCTTTTCAAAACATTGGCTTCAGGTTATAACTCGTCTTTCATAAGACTCACCACAATGATTCATTAAGCTCTTGGAGCTCCATAAGGTATGTGATTATGAATCCCATAACCATTGATGTCATCTTAATAAAGAGTTAAAGACCATTAAAACTCCAAGTTGAAAAGAAATTCAATATTTCTCGCTTTTTTGGTTGCATCAATCACCAAATGATCCAAGTGTTGTTCTAACAGAAGTTGTCGAATTGAAAAGTAGCATTTTCTCTCCCAAAGATTTCTGTGATGTTTCTCCTCATATGAACTTATATCTAGGGCTGTCCAAACGGGTTGACCGACCAAAATTTTCGAGTCTAGGCCGGGCAAAATACCCAGCCCAGACCTAGTGTGCCCGGGCCAGGCCATGGTCCGGGTCCAGGCCAAACCGGGTCGGCCCAGATTTTTTATATTTTTTTTATTTTTCTGATTTTTTGGCTAAAATTTGATTAAAAATTAGGTTACTCTTATTATATTTATATATGTATTAGTATATACTCACATATTAGTATATAGCTATATATTATATGTAGGTATATAATATATATCAGTATACATTAATGAACATATCATATTCTAATTATATATAGTATACATTAGAGAGATATATGCAAGTATATATAAGTATACATTAATGACCATATCATACTATAATTATATATATAAAATATAAAATATATATATATATAATATATATATATATATATAATTAGAGCCAGGCCATATCGGCCTAGACCCAAGCCCGGAGCCCGTCCGGCCCTGTTTTTCCAAGCCTTACCCAAGCCCGAGCAGGGTTCGGGCCTGGCCGGGTCCGGGCCGGACATCAGGCCAAGTTCAGGCTCGGTCCCGAAGCCCATTTGGACAGCCCTACTTAGATCCATGAGAAGTGTCAATTCGAGCAGTGTTAACTATAATCAGTTGACAACACAATCATTGTTTATACATACTAACAGGTGCAAATGCAAATAGTAGTTTTAAAAGAAAAAACTGGAAAATATCAATGTCAAATAATAGGATTCACTACTTCATGTTTACTAAAAAACAGATGTTTTTAAGATATTGTTCCCCCAAATCTTGCCTATTTTGAAGTAAGTCCTCCAAAACTTGATATTTTAAAGTAAGTCCAAACTCTTGGTTGCCCTAAATTAGTCTGTTCTTGTTTAGATCTGTTGGTTTAATTGCAAAATAAAAGTAACGATGATAGTTATTCTGGTTCTCTCATTATGCCACTGTCTTCAGCTCCCCACTTCTAACTGTCATGAAAGCAATAACTCTTTCTAACCATGTTCAAATCCACCATATGTTATATATGCTCTTAATTGTAAATTTTTATGTCCAATGTGCAGAGCGAGACGTAGTCTTCTTGACTGTTAGACGCAGAGGTTGACAACAAGGGTTGACAACAAGGATATATTGGGAAACAAAAAAAACAATAGTCAATACTTAATTTTCCGGTTAAACTAATAAATTAAAACTAAGAAGATTAGTATGAGGTGACCAGTGAGTTTCAGGGGATTTATTTCAAAATATCAAGTTTTTGGGGATGGGGACTAATTTCTAAATAAGAGTGGGGGGACCAATATCTTAATACCCCTAAAAATATGATGTTCGGATCTATTAAGAATGTACCTTGACCACCCAATTTTTATCAACAAGTAGATTAGGCGACTTCAAATCACGATGTACAATTGTTGGATGGCTTGTGTGCAAATAATTCATTCCTTTGGCCTGTAAGAGCAAACCAAGATTAAAAAAAAAGAAAAAAAAAAGAAGGGGACAGGCGTGGAATAAGATGTACATATAAACATAAAACAGGCAAGCTTGTACCACATCGAATGCCATTTTCAGTCTACGTTTTTCATCCAGTTTAGCATTGGGACGATGCAACAACCTATATAAACTCCCCCTGAGAAGGAAAAGGAAACAGCTCATGAGAATAGAACTCACCACGCCAGACAAACAGGAAAGATGTAGAGCATACATCTTCCAGCACACATTGGGTTGTTGCCAAACATGTTAGATTGATATATACTCTTAAACTCATTTAAGCAGTATATACTGCATCTGCAGTATCAATTTCATCAACATAAAGACTGTTCAATTATAAGATTGCATGGAATTAAATGGTAATATGTAGGTTGGAAGAGCTTCAGCACAATGGAACTTGTTGGAAAACACCTTCACATCACAGAGATTGAATAAGTTCTCCTCCCAGGGATAAATATGCTTATATCACACACGCACATACACGTGCATGCACACGTGCGCACACAAAAATCTTATGTGCATGCACACGTGCGCACACAAAAATCTTATCAACCTCATGTTCATGTAAAATGTTACCATTTTAGCTTAGAATTCGGTTTGGAAGAAGCTAATAAGAATAAGTGCTATTTGAAACAAAATGTCTATCACACCAGTTAAAAACCAAAAGACAGATGCTAAATTATGGCGTCACATGTAATGTTAATCAACCATACGAGTTTGAGAAGAAAGAACCACCTCGGGAGAAATTCGGTCAATATTGAAAGATTTGGAGGTCGAGTCACCGCTCCCATGAAAAGGACAACATTCGGATGCCTTAACCTTAACATAATTTTGACCTACAGTAGCAAAGTTCACAGATATCAAAGCTGAACATGTCTTTGCATAAACTAAAAGTAAGGTTGGTTTGGTACTAAGTAACATCAACCATGGTCTGCTCAATACTTACTTCACATCTGAATTGCTCCAATGCATCACCTGAAAGACCCTGATCCAAAAATTTCTTCACAGCAACCTCCTGTAGGCAAGGTCACAATGTTAACACAGAGTGAAACTAATTATTGGATCATATGGTAAAAAAAGCCAAACAAATCAAGCAAATATAAAAGAGAAGATTCTAAAACAATTGATTTTGTGTGCATAAGTGCATTTATGTTTCCCTATTTTCTACTGAACACATTTACATGAATGTTAAGACTTTGTTTCTACCTGAGATTTTTTTCTGGTCAATATAAAAGAGGCAAATCCCACAGTATGTATTACTCTACAATTATGATATTGCCCTGTCTATTCTGAGATGCACTCTGTTTCCTGAAAATGTAACTTCTTTAGCTTGACTTTGCTTCTCCATCGGAACCCTCTCCTCCACATAAATTTGGAATAAGACAGGACTTCCTTTTAGCCAGCTCAAGGACGGAACCTGGCTGGCTTTAGCACTAAAGATGAATGTCCCCTTACACCAGTTAATACTCATCTCTACTTATTAGTTGTTTGAACATCCTCCTAATGGCTTCTATTACTCTTGTTTACCTCCCTCGGAGTCCCACCTAAATACAAGTTTCTTTAAAGAAAAAAAGAAGAGAGTATCTCTTCAGTTCCATGTACCTTGACGATTAAAAATAACCACTGTTATAAATAGCGGTAAATAGCCCCGCAATAACGACGCTAATAGCGTTAGCGGTCCCTTCCCGAACCACTGTTATAAATAGCGGTAAATAGCCCCGCAATAACGACGCTAATAGCGTTAGCGGTCCCTTCCCGCGACGCTATCGCCCGCTACGCTATCGCGCCCCGCAATAACGACGCTAATAGCGTTAGCGGTCCCTTCCCGCGACGCTATCGCCCGCTACGCTATCGCGCAATAACGGTGACATATTGCGGAATATGTATGTTCGCAAAAGCGGTCAATAGTGTGTCATAACGGTAAATAGTGAGCGATTGCATTCGAAATTTGCTTTTTGACTGGTATTTAAAAGCGGTTTGAGGCTTATTTTTTTAAAATTAAACTCAACCTTTGACCATTGCTGTAGAAAAGATTAGATTTAGTTTCTATTTTAGAAGAGATTAGATTTAGATTCTGTTTTAGAAAAGATTTGATTTAATTTCTGTTTTCCAGTTTTAGTTAGGATCCCTTATTTGAAGGAATTTTGTTTCCTTATTTGGTGGACTGGAATGCCGGCCACATCTTATAAATATTAGGCTGTAAATATTTGATCAATAAGAAAAAAGAAACTCAGTTTTTCTTCATGGTATCAGAGCACATATCTATGCCCTAGCCATTCTTCTTCATTCATCGCTATCTGGTCACCTCCTTCATCTGACCATTCTTGTTCTTTCCCATGACCAAATACGGCATGGCTTCATCTTCCTCAGAAATCACTTCTAGATCCGAGGTCAATTCCCATGTCCCTTCCGTCCCTGATTTCCCCTTGAATATCGTCACAAATCATAAACTCCATGGCCAGAATTATCTCCAATGGTCTCAATCTGTATTCATGTATATTTGTGGCAGAGGAAAGGATGGACATCTCACCGACGAGACTGTGGCTCCGGAGACTACAGATCCCAAACATCGAACCAGGAAGACGGATGATCATCTTATTATGTCTTGGCTGATAAATTCCATGACCAATGAAGTTGGAGAAAACTTTCTGCTTCACAAGATAGCCAATGACATATGGGAGGCTGCACGTGAAACGTACTCAAGCACAGAAAATACCTCTGAACTATTTAAGGTTGAAACAAGATTATATGACCTCAAACAAGGAGATATGACTGTCACACAATATTTTAACACCCTCACACGCTGCTGGTTGCAATTACATCTGTATGAGGTCTATTCCTGGAAATGTGCTGATGATTCTGCTATGTATAAGCAAATTGTTGAGCAAAAAATGACTATTCGATTTCTTCTTGGTCTAAACAAGGATCTAGATGAAGTCAGGAGAAGAGTCATAGGAATCAAGCCCTTTCTTAATCTTAGAGAGGCCTTTGCAGAAGTTAGAAGAGAGGAAAGTAGAAAGAAATTGATGCTGACAGAAAATAAACTTGCAGTGGAAGGCTCGGCTTTGTTCACCCACAATTCTTCTCAACCCAATAAGTCTGGAAAAGGGCGGCCTTGGTGTGACCATTGCAAGAAACTTGGTCATTTCAAGGCTACTTGTTGGAAACTACATGGCAAACCAACAGATTGGAAGCTATCCCATACTCGGTTTGAGAGAGAAAACCGTGCAAATGCTGCAGTCACTACAGAGAACAGTCCTTTCACCAGAGAGCAGATTGAAGCACTGCAGAAAATGTTGAGTCAAGCGTCGAGTTCTGGACAACCATCTCAAACACCTGCCGAACCACCCACTAGTCTCCTTGCACACCAAAGTACCTTATCCTATGCCTATATTGTCCAAAATAAATCCTTAAAGCAATGGATAATCGACTCAGGAGCCTCAGATCACATGACTGGAGACATCAGCCTACTCAAAAATTACCAGCCGTGTACTAGCAGTTCTGGAGTACGAATAGCTGATGGCTCTTTATCACTAGTGGCAGGAATCGGATCCGTTCAATTAACAAAGGACCTTCTGCTTTCTCCTGTCCTTTATGTTCCCAAATTGAACTGTAGTTTAATTTTCATCAGCCAACTTACTCGTGACCTCAATTGTGTGACTAAGTTTTATTCTAATCTTTGTGATTTTCAGGTAGTGGATTCGGGGAAGGTGATTGGCAGTGCTGAGATACATGGTGGCATATATTTGCTCAAAGAAAATAATCTCCTCGATAGACAAGTTCAATCGTCAAGTTTTGATCCTACATCAAATTCAGTCAAGTGTGTTTCAAATTGTGTCGGTTTCCAATTCCAGTTCAATTGAAAGTCAAGTTATGTTATGGCATTTTCGTCTTGGTCATCCAAACTTTGGTTATTTAGAGAAGTTGTTTTCACATTTATTCATCAATAAAAGTTCGAATGTCTATCAATGTGAAATTTGTCAACTTGCAAAGCATACTAGAAATATATATTCCAGTTTACAATAATTTGTCAACTTGCAAAGCATACTAGAAATATATATTCCAGTTTACAATACAAACCTTCACATCCATTCTGTCATTCATAGTGATATTTGGACTAGAAATATATATTCCAGTTTACAATACAAACCTTCACATCCATTCTGTCATTCATAGTGATATTTGGAGACCCTCACGTATCAAAAATATTACTGGGGCTAGGTGGTTTATTACATTCATAGATGACCACACAAGAACTACTTTGACCTTTCTCATGAAAGAAAAATCAAAAACATCTACAATATTCCACTCCTTCCGCTCCATGATTTCTACCCAATTTCAAAGCAAAATCCAAGTTCTTAAGACTGATAATGCCAGAGATTATTTTAATTCTATTCTTGGCTCTTATCTCTCCAAACATGGTATCATTCACATCAGTTCTTGTGTGGACACCCCACAACAAAATGACGTGGCTGAAAGGAAAAATAAACACTTACTAGAAGTTGCTCGTGCCACCATGTTCACCAACAATGTTCCTAAATATTTTTGGGGAGAAGCCATCCTTACTGCCACCTACCTCATCAATAGGATGCCTAGCCGAGTCCTAAAATTTCAAACCCCTCGTCAGATACTCCTCAATACCTATCCCAATATCCGCTCTTTTTCTTCTGAACTACCACTCAAAGTGTTTGGTTGTTCCTCCTTTGTTCACATTCACCAACATCAATATACCAAACTCGATCCAAGATCCCTTAAGTGTATCTTTATTGGTTATTCCCCCAATCAAAATGGATACAAGTGTTACTCTCCAATCACTCGAAGAGTATACAACTCCATGGATGTGACATTCTTTGAAAATCAGTCCTATTTTCCCAAATCTGACATTCAGGGGGAGAACTCAAGAGAATATCAGATTTGGGATCTTCTTCGAGACACTAATGATATATCTACTCAACCAAAATCTGTCCCTGTCATTGAAACTATCCCCAAAAACACACCAATCCCTGCTCCTAATACTTCTGAAACAGCCCCACTTGACTCAAATCACCCATAACTTGACACTCATAATCCTGAAACAGTTCCACCCATGTCTATTCATGTGCCTGAAACAACCTCACTTGACTCAAATCAGCCACAACTTGACAATTCTGAACTACGTGTCTATAGAAGGAGAAAACCTACTGAGCATAAACAGGACACTATTCAAACTCAAGATTCTCAATCATTGGAATCGGGTCCTCCTGCACATGACAATCATAATGGTATAGAATCCTTATCATATGATGCTTTTGCTCCTATGATTGATGACTTGAATCAGCCCATTGCTTATAGGAAAGGGGTTAGGGGGTGCACTAGTCATCCCATTGAGAAGTATGTAGCCTATGGAAAATTGCTTCCTCCATAAAGAGCTTTTGTTCCAACTCTTGACAACGTGCAGGTGCCTAATTCAATACAAGAAGCTCTAAGAATTCTAGCATGGAAGAAGGCAGTGGAAGAGGAGATTCAGACTCTAGAAAGGAACAATACATAGACTCTAGTTAAACTACCACAGGGCAAGAATCCAGTTGGCTGTAAGTGGATATTCACAGTGAAATACAAGGCAGATGGCAGTGTTGAAAGATTCAAAGCTAGACTTGTAGCCAAGGACTTCACACAATCATATAGGATTGACTACCAGGAGACATTTGCTCCGGTTGCCAAACTCAACACGGTTAGAGTTTTACTCTCTCTTGCAGTGAATCAAGATTGACCTCTATACCAACTTGATGTAAAGAATGACTTTCTTAATGGAGACCTAGAAGAAGAAGTCTATATGATTATTCCGTCGGGAATGGAAACCAGTTCAAACAGCATGTTAGTGTGCAAGCTGAAGAAGTTCTTGTATGGTTTGAAGCAGTCTCCACGAGCTTGGTTTGATAGGTTTGCTAAGGCAGTGACTGTTAATGGGTATCACCAGTGTCAGGCTGATCACACTTTGTTCATCAAACGCAAACCAGGAGGAAAGATTGCTATTCT